TCCAATCTTTCTGCTTCAGCAACAATTTCTTTGTCCGATGAGTCAATAATACCTTCTTCTTTCTTTTTCTGCAAACAAAAAGGAAGCAATTCAGTGAATTGGAGACAAATTTTGCTCTAGAGATGCCAGCTCCAACTTTCGAGGACCTTTCCCATTATAGTTGCAGAACTTTTTAAAAAATATTCTTTAAACATTTTGTTTACTTATTTTGAGAAATGGGGGCGCGGGGAAGAGGGGCAGAGAAGAGAGGAGAAAGCGAGAATCTCAAACAGGTTCTGCACTTGAACTCATAAACTGTTGAGATCATGACCTGAGCTGAAGTGGGAATGCTGAACTGTCTGAGGTGCCCCAGTTTCAGGACTTTTTAATGATTAATATGCATGCCAAAGATAGTACTCGGAACCACCTTCAAGAAATGTTTCAGTAAAAAATGGAAAAATAAACCTGGCACCTAAGTATTCAAAAGACAGCTTGAGAAAAAATTACTTGTCAAGTAACCTGCTTAAAGTCATAAATACCTTAAAGCCCATGGTTGGAAAAAATTGATTTCTTGATTGAGAAATTAACTGCTCTTGAAACAACGTCCTTTACCTTAACAAAATCAAACAGGATATTGACCCGCTCTTCAACAGTCCTTTCCAAATCATCACTGAGTGTCAGAACTTTCGCGTGGTCACTGATTTCATCCATTCTGCGTCTTTGAGCTTCCTCAGTTGTATCCTCCCCCCAATCATCATCCTCCTCTTCTTCCTGTTAAAATAAGTATGTTTGGTCAAATGCCTTAAGAATTAAAAAAAAAAAAAAAAACTTCCAGATATCTAGCTAGTCATGTTAATGGCATCAGGTTCATTTTCCACAAACACGTATCTGGCTTTCTGAATCAACCACACGGAACCAGGAACCTCAACATACTGCTGCAATGTCATAATGACGACTAGTTTCATTATTTCTGCCCATGGTAACCAAGCATCGTATTTTACACAACTTTTGCGCCTACCATACCATCAACCTCACACTCACCACAGCATGAGGAGGAGGACTGATCTCATTTGGTGGTGGTGGTGGTGGGGTCTCACTGCTGGACATGGAACCATTTTCCTTGTCTTTGCCCTTCCTGTTTTTCTTTTCCTTTTCTTTCTTCCCTGTACCACTGTCACTATTCTCTACAAGAAAACCAAAAAAATAAAAATTAATACTATAGTGTGTATTACACCTCATGGTCTCTAGTGAACATTTAAAACTCTTTTGCTTCGAAACCTTTCCCCTCAGAAAACCATTAACACAATGCTACTTAATTCTAAGAGGACTCACAAACCAAGTTCATCTACCTTTATTTCACATGTAAAAATATGTAGAGTAAAAACAGAAATGTCCCGCAAATACTAGAAGAGATTAAGATACGGTATCTCAAAAGATCAAGTAATTAAGTCAAAGTTGGCACTCTGACCCTCTTTCCCACCACGAGCCTGAACAAAGGCATATCTCAAATGCACTTTAGCCAACAGTTGGAACACTGTTTAAGTCCATGTAACAGTTGGTCTCATGGAGGAGAACACTGGAATAGGTTAGACTTTCTTGCTATAGCAAGCTCAAATTGCGTCAGACGACTTCGATCATCTGACACAGAGTGTTGCTTGCAATGTTCTCAAAGGCACTCAGGCTTAAGGAGCCAAGACCCCAGTGCAGAAAATAATCCCGAAGTAGATCTTTTGCTGGGATCCCACAATTTTACAACATCTGCTTCTCTCATTCTAAAAGACAGATCTTAAAAACCGACAACGACAAAACAGAGTTTACCCAGCAGTCTTTTTTTTTTTTTTCTTTAACGGTATATCTTTAAAACTTGTAAGTTCAGGGGCGCCTGGGTGGCTCAGTCGGTTAAGCGTCCGACTTTGGCTCAGGTCACCATCTTGCGGTTTAGGAGTTTGAGCCCCACATTGGGCTCTGTGCTGACAGCCAGCTCAGAGCCTGGAGCCTGTTTCAGATTCTGTGTCCCCTCCCTCTCTGACCCTCCCCCACTCATGTTCTGTCTTCCTGTCTCAAAAAACAAACTATTAAAAAAATTAAAAAACGCCACACCCCATAAGTTCAACATTAACACAGTACAGAGATTAAAAATCCCTTATACTCTAGTATCGTTAACAGCAAAGAAGCTTCAGTTATGTTTCTAACATCAGTTGCTTTTAAGTTAAAATCTTGCAAGTTCATCATGAAGACTTACCAGGTGGGTTTTTGAGAATGAACGTGCAGAGTTTATGATGTGTGTCAAGCATGCCACGATAGCCACAGGCTTTACAAGAGTTACCTATTGTTTGCTTCTTTGGATTGACATGCTGCCAAAAAGAAAAAAAAAAAAGTTAAAAACAAATACGTCCTTTATGACAGAAATTAAAAATCACACAACTAGCAAAGTGTTAAGACTATAAGACCGTAACTCCTGCTTAACATATAAAACCATTCTACAGAAAATAATCTATGTAGAAGAGAATGGACAGAACCCTCAAAAACACTCACCAGATCTGTTTCAGGATTCTCACACTCAGGACAGAGAACAAATTTTTTAATGAATCCATCCAACATGTCTTGCAGCTTATTCGCCTCATGAGATCCATTGACAATGTAACGGTCATTCTTAACATCAAACTGGGTCTGTGCTCCCAGCTCACAACCAAAATATTTGGTGGGATCTATGGGGGGAGGAAAAAGTCTGTTAACTGAATCTCTGGCTACTCATTCATCTTTATACAGATATCACTCCTTATACTTTTATGCTGAGTTAAAATGTGTTGCTTGGGTAATTTTATTTCCTAACAACTAGTAAGTCCGTTGGTTTTCAAGCCCAGGATTCCACTTAACCTGGGAAGTAGTTAACATACAACTCCAACAAGATACCCACAGCCAAGTTTGTCATTTCCATATTGACAGTATGTTTTTTTCAGACTCCTCTTAAGAGGTACTACTTACACGTTGGAGGCCGATTAAGCGCCTTTGCAACGTCAACCATGTTGACTATAACTGTCTTGATACCATTTCCTTTGCCCTCAACCTATAGAAAAAAAGAACTTTAAGTTTGCATTATCTACCCCAGAAAATGCCACCTTTAAAATCTACGGCAAGAACTTAGGCTTTATCGCTAATACAAAGATCGGTATTACCTTGGCAATCAGACGGGGCATCTTGTAGCGATAGAACTGGTCTGACACACTGCGGTTGACATTGACAGACATTTTGGCTTATTAGTGACTTTATCAATAAGGTGAAGAGATCTTTGATTGCAACTTTTTGGTATCTTCTGTCTGGAGAAGAAGGGATGACATAAACGACTGCAAGAGTTCTCGGTCTCTGACATGAAAAAATTTTCGCCACTGAGGCTGTAAGCTTCTTGCTTGTATGCTATGTTTCCCCAATACAGGTACCAATGGCTGCGCAACAGCTCTGAAAGAGAAAGGAGAGCACACACAACCCCCCGACGTTTAACGGGATTCCCGCGCCGAGAAGGACCTCCCTCCGCCTAAGTCGGCTACATCGGAGCAGCCCAAGTTCACGGGAGCAGCGGCCGGCGTCCCATCTAACACGGAACACCTGTAGGGGCAGCGCGGGCCTCCAACCGGACTCGGGCGGGAGGGGGAACGGGGGCGGCCGCGGGCTCCCGCCGCCCGCACACGCCGCCCTGTCAAAGGTCGGCTTCCGTGCAGCGGCCGTATTCCAGCAGCTGTTGAGCGACCCAACGCAGGGCCTCCGCTCTGCAAACCAAGCCCGTCTCGCGAAGAAACTTCTCAGGTTCCCTCCCCCGCCCTCTACGAGACGGAAAGCTACCGCCTGGGCCTCCGGCACCGGGCGCCCGCGTCTCCGCCACAGGAAGCGCGCGCCCGCGAGCATGCGCGCGGACGGCGAGGCGGTGACCGAGCGCGACCTCGACCTCTCCTCTCCCCGGCTCCGCTCCGGGCCCCACGGCCCCCAGCCGCTCCGCCAGGGGTGCCATATGTGCCACCCGGCCTCGGCGCGGCGGGGGAAACGAAACCGGCCGAGGGGCGCCGGCCCGGGCCGCCCCCGCCCCCGAGCGAGCGATGACTCATGAATGCAGCAATTAGGCCTGACTCAGCCCGCGCGGCGCGCTCCCGCGGGGGGGGGGGGTGGGAGAGGGAGGAGGGACGCAGAGGGAGGAGGGGGGCGGGGGCCGGGGCGGAGGGCAGGGCGCGGGGGCGCGGGGCCGGCGGGGCCGCGGGGGCCCGCCCGCCCGAACTGCGCCACACACACGCGCGCGGGTCACGCGGCGCGCCGCCATCTTGTGCGGCCGCCATCTCCCCGCCGGCCCGCCCGCGGACTCACCGTTTTCGTCAAATAAAGACATAAACCCAACGCTGCTCGCCCGGGACTGGGATGAAGTGAGGCGCGCGTGAACCCGAGTCCGAGGAGGGGCGGCGGAGGCGGCGGAGCAGCGCAGCGAGCAGCGGCCGGGCCAGGCGCCGCCGAGCAGCGGGGAGGGGCTGTCCCAGCGACGTCCGGGGTCCACACCCTTCAGCGCCCGGGGCCTGGCGACCTGGCGCGGAGAGACGGCGCCGTGAGCCGCGGGCGTCGGGGCGCCTTCCCCGCCAGCCAGCGGCCCGCGGGGGTGGGGAGAACTGGGGAGGGGGCACGGGGCCGCCGCCCCTCCACCGGACTCACCTCTGGAATGTTCTCGCTCTGACTGAACAACGCCGCCGCCGCGCTCAAGCTATCCTCGGCCCCTGCGCCCGCCCCCCGCGCCAGGCCGCGCCGCTCATTGGCTCGAGGCGCGCCCGAGATCGCTCGTCATTGGCCCCTGTGCCGCGTCAATCGCGTCTTTCTCCGCCCCTCTTGCTTCCTGAGGCTCTGCTCGCCGCCTCAGCCCGCCCCCAGTTCCCGGGTCCGGGGTTCCTTCCTCTGTCCTCCCCTCCCCCCGCCTTTCCCAGAGGCCTTCGCGGTCTCGCGAGAGCAGGCTGGCCGCGGCGGAGGGCTGGTCGCGGGGCCGCGCTTTGTCGGTTTGAGCGCCCGGGGGAAGATGGCGGTTGGCTCCCCTCCCCCGCCGCCCTGGCCTCGCAGCGTTCCCACCGAGTTCCCCTCGAGGCGGGCGTGCAGCCTCCCTAGTGGGTTCCTCGCTGCCCTTTCGGTCCCCTGGGTCGGGCCTCGAGGCGGAAGTTGTTCCCCCTCCCCCCTCCCTTAGGCCTGGGCAGACGGGGATGATGCGGGGCCTGGCATTTCTATCCCAGGTGCTTTTAAGCTCCGATGCTGGGGTCCATGTGCCCGGGGCGACGGTGATTCGCCAAGTCACCGTTAACAGGGTCGTAGTGCGGCCCCTGGCCCGCCTTCCTCGCTCCCTCCACGGCTCCCCTCCCCAGCCCCAGAGCACCCGTTTTCTAAAGAGAAACACCAAATTAGTTCATGACTCCCGGACCCTCCGGAAAGTGCGCCTCGGAGAGGTCTCCGTGTTCTCGTACTTCCCTATAACTTTGCTCAAAACAGAGCATCACATTGGGTCACCATTCCCGGAATCCACTCTGTAGCTTATACATTGTGACTTCCTTGCCGGGCAAAGCATAGCCCAAAGCAGGTGTTCCTAATAAGGTTCCAGTGCGGTCCCTCGTGAATGACTACTATTTAGAGAGAGCCTCTCACGTTTTCCTAATGTTGAAGTGATTACAGCAACTCTCCCATTCTTTCAGAAACTTAAATTTTGTTAAATAGCTTCAGTTGCTACTGTAAAAGCACACCGAGTCCATCCTGGAACTCGAAAGCAGAGCTGACGGCAGTAAGCCGAGAGCCAAATAATGGAGCCACGGGCTCTAATCCGCTTTCTGCAGTCCCAGGGCGCAGCACTGTGGGTTCCCCCACCTGGACAAAGTAGCAATGTTGTTGAGGACCTGGTGAGGTGAGTAAGAGGCTGCCTTTTTTTATAGATCAGTCAAATGTGCAAGAAGGCTGGCACTGAAAGGTATGTTGCTTTTTATCACAGTAAATCATGATTTGCAAGCTTTATAAACCATTTAAAAATTGACAGTGTGGGTAGGGAGGCTAATCGAAGGGAAGACCCAGAGTTGAGAGAAGTGATCTGTGTCCTTGCTGCCAGAGCTTATGTTATAACCACACAGCGTATACATTGGTGTATGATTGTTAAATGCATAATGCTTTACGGGTACCTGGGTTCCCATCAGGTAAATGGAAAAAGATCCCAAACAAGCTGCTTCTGGTTCAACACAGCAGAGAGGCGGATGCAGGGCTCGACACCACAAACTGAGATCATGCCCTGACCCGAAGTCGGACATTTAACTGACTGAACCACCCAGGCGCCCCCTCTACTTTTATTTTTTCAGTAGGCTCCACACTCAATGTGGGGCTTGAACCAGGGATAGCTTTTAAAAATTATTCTTGGGTTGCCTGAGTGGCTCAGTTGGTTGAGGGTCCAACTGTTGATTTAGGCTCAGGTCATGATCCCAGGGTTGTATGATGGAGCTCTTAGAGCTTGCTTGAGATTCTCACTCTAGCCCACACTCTCTCTGCCTCTGTCCCTCCCTCACTCACTAGCTCTCTTAAAAAAAAAAATTATAAAATTATTCTTAACTATACCTTTGTTTGAATGCTTCTCATAACCTAAGAATTTGCTAAGTGCTTTGGATACTCTTATCTTATATTCTTAGCCCTTATGAAGAATTTTTGTTCCTTTTTTTATTTTTATTTTTATTTTTTTTAATATATATATATTTTTTATTTCTAGGAGAGAGAGAGAGAGGGAGACAGCATGAGCAGGGGAGGGTCAGAGAGAGAGGGAGTCACAGACTGAAACAGGCTCCAGGCTCTGAGCTGGCAGTCAGCAGAGAGCCCGACGCGGGGCTCGAACCAACAAACCGCGAGATCATGACCTAAGCGAAAGTCGGACGCTTAACCGACTAAGCCACCCAGGCGCCCCATTTTGTTCCTTTTTTTAAAGAGTTTTTTGGTTTTGTACTCTGGATGCAAGATACCTTTTCTAAAATTTTTTTTAAAGTTTATTTATTTTGAGAGAGAGAGCACGCGCACACACATGCACGTGGGGGAGGGACAGAGAGAGAGGAAAAGAGAGAGAGAGAGGGGCGCCTTAACCATTACATGACACAGCCTTCCCAGGTAAATATAAACATACATAAAACCAGGCAATTTACATGTGAAATCCCATTTGATCCTTTGACAATCATGTGGAGTACAATTGTTATTCCCATTTTACAGAGGAGGAAACAGAGTCAGAAAGGTTAATTTTCTCCAAGTCACCTGCCGAATCATTGGTGGACAGTGTTTGAACTATAGCTTGACGCCAAGCTCATTGAGTAATTCTGCTTCCTACTTCTGGCTCTCCGCCTCATTTGGCTGTATTTACCCCAACCAGGTGTTCACAGTTTGCTAAGTCATGGGCACTTGGTGCCTATGAAATCTTTGTCAAATGAGTGCCTGAATTCTGCATTTCAGCACTTGCCTTGGACGGCACACGGGAATAGCTGCTGAAAAGGTAAAACAGTAAATTGGCCTTATGGTTGTTCAGATAAGGGCGTCGGTCCTGTTTAGCATGACGTTGCCCCTTGAGCAAGATCAAGTCTGCATAAACCAAGAACCTTGTGTTTCTGAGCTGTGGGCCACTGAGGGGACCAGGGCATTGGCCTCAGTGCTGGGCCAACGGGTTGGACAGCTGGCCTCTGTGACGTGCTACTCTCAGCTGTCTCTCGCCTCCCCACGCTCCTAGTTCAGCAGGCTCCTGTCTCCCTGCTTTTCCTCCGGCCCCAGCCTGTCACCGGGTGTGCGGGTGTGCGTAGAGCAGACATTCAAAGCTGCTGGGAGGGAACTGAAGGTTGTCTGGTGATAACCAGAGGCGGTAAAGGCATCGGCTCTGTTGAAAGCTAGTATCCCAAACCAGAGTAATCTAAGGCACCCAGGTTAATAAACCTTTCTGAGTTGCGGGGATACAGGCCCCGCCCACATTGCAGGCCCTGCCCAGGGGCAATAGGGAAACAAACACTCACCGAAGCTTGTCCCCTCTCCAGACATCTCCGACCCTCTGGATGTCTCCTGGCCTTTGTGACAGGCCCCTCCCCACTAATACTTCCACCACACCTCTGGCATTCAGGTAGCACTTTATTGCGTTTGCCTGCTTACTTGTCTGCCTTCCTCATTAGGCTAAACAGCTTGTGGGCAGGGGACCTGTCCTTGAGAACACAGAGTCAGCTACAAAGGGGACAGAGGCGGGAAGCAGAGATGTCTATGAGGAAGAGAAGACGTGAGGTATTGCTGGAGGCTGACACGGTGTCTACTTGCTCCCAAGCATTTATTTGACTCCAACCAGAGTCTATCTTCTGTCATTTCTGGAAAAAGAGGGAAAAAGTCACAATTGTACATGTCACCCACATTCTCACACTGGGTGCCAACACCTCATTCTGTTCCCTCTCCTCGTGGATGGGGAAACTGAGGCTTAGAGGGAGGATTTGTCTGGAGGTGGGGGCTGGGCGCTGACATCCGGCTGTAGGGTTTTCCCACCGTGTAGGAAGGAGGGCCTCCCGATCCTGTTTGCTCCCCTTCCGTTGGCTGGATTTTAATTGCGCTAATGCTCTCATCAGAGAGGAGGTGGGAGCCAAGGGCTGAGGGTGTATTTCCTTATGACGCTGACCTGCTTCAAGCAGTCGCTGTGTATCCTGCCTGCGGCCGAGCCGGACATCAGAGATGCAGATGGGCCCCTGCGCGTGCTGTACCCACTTGCACGTGTATTTTGTTTGTGAGCCAACACATAAGTAAGCACTGGGGAGCTGTCACCTGAAAGTCCAGGTGTCTGGTTCCGGAGGAGATTGGAAGCCGGGCAATGCTGGGATATGCTCCTGTGTGACCGAGTCTCTGTCGTTCAGAGCTGCAGGTGGGGCGCGAGCGCTCACAGACGGGAGCCACTGTGTCACTGTGCAGGCGTGCGCCCACACCTGCCCTGTTCACTCCCGGTGCCTGCCTCACCTCTGCGCTGGTGTTCTCTCGTCTGCGCGGTTTTCTCTTGCTCCAGCGGGTGTACATCCGCTGCCATCCATGTGCCAGCTCGAGGGAATTTAGAGTCTGAGACCTTGCAATAACATTCTGGGGCCCCTGGAACCGAGTATCAGAGACCCGGCGTGAAACAACAGACTGCTTCTCCCCTGGCTCTGGAGGCCAGACGTCTGAAATCGAGGTTCCGGCAGGGCTGGGCCCTGTCTCCATGCCTGGCGGTGGCTGGCCGCCCTGGATGCAAGGACCGTCTCTGGCATGTCACCCTCTTCCCTCCACGCTGTCACAGGGTGGTCTCCTCTTTGCGTGTGCCTGCCTCTATGTCTCTTCTTAGAAGGACGCTAGACATGTTGGTTGTAGGGCCCGCCCGGCACCCCGGCCTGGTGTGACCTCATCTTAACTTAATTACATTTGCAGAGACACTATTTCCAAATAAGGACTCATGCACCTCATTCAGGATTCGGACTTGAACATATCTTTTGGGGAGATACAATTGAACTCACAGTTGACATTTAAAGAAGGACCTCAAACAACTCAAAATGTAAAACCTGGCCCTTGCTCATCACTTGTGTTTGGGAGACAAGACTCCTGAAATGTCAGCAAGCACCCCGGTCTGCCTTCCTGTGGCATGCGCAATAAGATAGCCCTGTGGCCTCAGTGCACATCGACCCACAGGATCCCTAACACAGCCCTCCGAGGGAGGTTCTGTTGCCAGTCCACTTCACAGATGAAGAAACTGAGGTGCAGAAAGGTCCTACAGCTTCGCCAAAGTCCCTGAGAAGCAGAGCCGATGTGTGTGTGTGTGTGTGTGTGTGTGTGTGTGTGTGTACACGTACAATAGCGAGTGCCAGCAGGTTTTCTGTTCTCGTCAGACCCTTGGCCCTCGTGATAGGGGCAGGTGAGGCTAACCTTTATCTCAGCTGCCATCACCTCCTTCATCATCCCCCTGGGGTGTGTGGTGATCTGTCTACTTCCCAGGACGATTGCAGGGGCCTTGGGCATGATGTAGACAAGGTCTGATTATTTTCTTTTTAATTTTTTTTATGGTTTTATTTATTTCTGAGAGAGAGAGAGAGAGACAGCCTGAGCAGGGGAGGGTCAGAGAGAGAGGGAGACACAAAATCTGAAGCAGGCTCCAGGCTCTGAGCTGTCAGCACAGAGCCTGATGCGGGGCCCCAACCCACAAACCGCGAGATCATGACCCGAGCCAAAGTCAGACGCTTAACCGATTGAGCCACCCAGATGCCCCAAGGTCTGATTATTTTCTTGATCCCTAAATTTCCACTTGAACAAGATTTAGTCCGTATTTAGGGTCAGTTTCCTGCATCTTTGTTGCATTGTCCGGTAGATGGAAGGACCACCCAGAGGCCGTAACAATATGCTCTAAATAACCTTTATTTTGTGGTCCTGGTCCATCTGAGTAAATATAGTTAGTACCAGATGGGACTTTTGCAATCTAGAGTTCTGAAGGCAAGAATGGAATCATTCCATTCTTCATGAGTTTCCTTAAATGAGGTGAGCGATTTTTTTCTTGGGCTGTCAGCCCCCGCGTTCAATATCGGCAGCGTGACATTTTGCACTGTTATCCTTGGTGAGTAAAGCTTAGCTATTCTGAGCTCTATGTGCCAGGGGCCTGTGCTCAGAATTCCCTTTTTAGTTTAGCTCATAAAGGCTGCTCACATGTTTGGGTATTTCATGCAGAAAGAAGTTTTTCGGGGGAGGTCACCCTCGGTTAGATATTTACAAAGTTCACGGCTATTTTTAACACACACCTTTGCTGCCTTAAAACCACAGTCAGTGTTTAAAGCTATGACTGGCCTCTTTCACTTAGCATAATGTCTGCAAGGTTCACCCTTTGTGCTAAGTGAAAGAAGTCAGTCACAAAAGGACACTTACTGTGTAAGTCCATTTAGATGAGGTTCCCAGGGTAGGCAGATTCATGGAGGCAGAAAGTAACAGGGTGGGTGCCCGGGGCTGGGGGAGAGGGTCCTAGGGAATGAGTGTTTCTCGGGGAAAGAGTTTCAGGTCAGGAAGATGGACTCATTCTGAACATGGATGGTGGTGGTGGTTTTTCCAACAATGTGAATATACTCAGTGCCACTGAACCGTATACGTAAAAATGGTTAAAATGGTAAATTTCATGTTATGTATATTTTACCAAAACGTGGAAAAAAATCCTACAATAACCTAAGCGCCTTTAGCTAAATAAATACAAATCAATGGTGGCTGTGTCAAAAACCTCACATGCCTGCGATTAAATATGATGTGCATGAAAAATATTACTAACAATCATGCATATGTATATGAAATTTCTTTTCCATTTTGTGCTTTTCTTTATTTTTCAATTTAAAAAGTTCCCCGGAAGATTTAAATTTTAGCTGTGACATTGAGCATGTCTTCTTAGTGTTTTGGACTGCTATTATCCCGTAAAATGGGAGGGGCAATTAAAGATGTAAAATTTACTCTATGGAACAAGTAGAAACCAACTCAATGGAGGTCGCCCTTCAGTAAGATTCTAGTGGTGACAGTCAACTCCTTAGCCCCGCAGGGCAAGATTTGTCACTCAGAGTCCCAGGGCAAGAGTATTAAACCCACTTCCCTCAGGGCCCTTGAGGCCCCAGGAGGCGCTCACAGGCTGGGGCAGGGCTAAGCGAGGCACTGAGGAACGGCAGGGACTGTGGGGATAGAACATAAAGGCATCCACATTCAACTAAGGAAACAAAACAAAACTAAAACTACATGCAAGCCAAACAAAACACAAAGGGGTTTTGTCTGGCCTGTGGGCCACCAGTTTGCGATTTCTACTTTAGAGTGAGAGACTCTTAGATCTGGCAGGGACACGGGGGGACTTTTCGTCCTTACCTCTACTTTTCTGAAGAAGAAACAATGATGAAGATATGCACTGCTTTAGAAAGAACTGGTCTAGAATTAGCTAAATCTCAGACAACAATTTTAGGGCTCTCTTCTTCCTCCCTGCTGGCTAGAAATGTTTTTTTTTTTTTCTTATTTCTATTATTTACTTAAACATTTTTTTAATGTTTATTTTTTGAGAGACAGAGACAGAGCATGAGCAGAGGAGGGTCAGAGAGAGAGAAAGAGAGACACAGAATCTGAAACAGGCTCCAGGCTCTGAGCTGTCAGCACAGAACCCAGTGCGGGGCTTGAACTCACGAACTGTGAGATCATGACCTGAGCCGAAGTTGGATACTTAACCGACTGAGCCACCCAGGTGCCCCTCATTTCTATTATATATTTATTTTAAATGTTTATTTTTGAGAGAGAGAGCACAGTGCGTGTGAGTTGGGAGAGGGGCAGAGAAAGAAAGAGAGGGAGAGAGAGAATCCCAAGCAGGCTCTGCACTGTCAGCACAGAGCCCGATGCGGGACTCGAATCCATGAACAGTGAAATCATGACCTGAGCCAAAATCAAGAGATGCTTAACTGACTGAGCCACCCAGGTACCCCATTTTTCCCCCAGATAGTATATTATTCTAAGTTTGAATTTGAATCTTTTTAAAAACATAGATATAGTTGTTTAATTTCATCTTGCTGCACAGATGAAGTTCAGTGCCTACTATTTTTCTGTTTTAGTGATACCTGCCACTCCCCAGCAAACTCCAGCACTTAATGGCCAGTGGAAATTTTGATATGAATATTCTATGTCTTCCAGCCTTTTCAAAATTGCAGTTATTTGCATTTGGGCCTTTGTATTAAAATGCCAAAGGAATTTATTGGTGGACGTTTTCATATGTTTGATACTGCTGGCCTTCTAAGATATGTTGTAACAAGTTTTGAGAAAGATTTTTCTTTGGCTCTCTTGTTAACATCTGCTGTGAGAATTTAGGTTGTTAGGAGAGCTCTATGCCAGGGCCGTAAACCCGCAGACCCAGGATGAATATGGCCCCTGTAGTTGTGTTATGTTTTGGCGGATCATTGTTTTGGGAGGTGGGAGATGAAATGGCTTTAGGTCATCATGTGCTCCAGAAGCTCCCCCAGGTCCTGACATCTTCCTCTTTCAGGAACATGCAGCCCCTTCCTGGCCATTGAAGGCATGTGAGGTTGTGGTCCATCCTCCTCGGGGGAGATTGCGGTGCAATGCTAGCAAAATGAGGGTCTCCAGGACATGTGTTCAGAAGTTGAGTGTAAGGGGCGCCTGGAGGGCTCCGTCTGTTAGGTGTCTGACTCCAGCTCAGGTCATGATCTCACCATTTGTGGGTTTAAGCTCTGCATCGGGCTCTGTGCTGACAGCTCGGAGCCTGGAGCCTGCTTGGGATTCTGTGTCTCCCTCTCTCTCTCTGTCCCTCCGCCATTCATGCTCTGTCTCTCTCTCTCTCTCTTAAAAATAAACAAACATTAAAAAAAATAAAAAGAATGTCACCTGATCTTGCCAGGTTAGCCACATGTGTGGTCGGCAGACTCGTCCCTTTGGAGAGGGATAGACCTGTTTAGCTGCCCTGCGTCTGGCCATGTGCAGGAGTGGCTTGTGGCCTTCAGCCCGGAACGTTGGGAAGCCATGTCCTCGTGGAAGGAGTGAGACCTGATGAGTGGCAAGGGAGACCCCCACACGTTTAGAAATGGAGTTCACAACCGTACCAGTCCAGCGCCACCCAGTAAGCATATATGGAGACACCCCTGCTGGCTGTGCAGGGGCCGTCACCCTAAGTAATGATAAGGACGCCATAGCCTATTTACCCAGCACCTGCCAGACAGCGGGTTCTGAGCAAAGTTCTCGTGGACAGGAGGTCAGAGGCCGTGTTACTCACAAGCGCTGGCTCTGACAGGAGCTCGGGTGACCTCCTCGGCCCAGTTTGTTCAAAACCTCCCTGGGTTTAGCAGCGAAAATCCCTCGTCCTGGGACACCTCTCAGACACAGGCAAATTGGCACACTTTGTCACCCTGAGGAGGGGCACACATTTTACCTCAATTACTTGGTATAATGTAAAGCCGGGTGGGGGAACTGTGGGCCAAACAGACGATGCAGATCAAGTCTCTGGGAAGTGCTGTCCACCTTCCAGGCAGCAGCCAGAGAGCATTTGCCTAAGTTTTACTTTTTAACTCTTTTTTCTTAAGATTAAAAAATGTTTATTTAGAGACAGCACACATGAGGGAGGGGCAGAGAGAGAGATAGGGAGAGAGAGAATCCCAAGCAGGCTCAGCACTGTCGGCGCAGTGACATCATGACCTGAGCTGAAATCAAGAGTTGGATGCTTAGCAGACTAAGCCCCCCAGATGCCCTACTTTTTTTTTTTTTTTTTTTTTTAGAATTAATACTTTATTGTCACACAATCAGATGGCAGTTGGGTATATAGTCCTTATACTTGATCTTTCCTTTTTGTAAATAAAAAATATCACATGTTTTCAACAGCCAATGGCTGGTTATGTTTTCAGAAAACATAATTAGATTAATTCATTAATGGTAGCTTCAAGTTTTTCCCTATTAGCTCCAGAAAACTCACCCACCTTCTGTCCCTTTTGAAAAAATGGGAAGGTTGGCGTGCATTTGACTTCACACTCTGAAGCAACATCCTGACAGTCACCCACGTCTACTTCAAGGAACACCACGTTGGAATACTTCTCAGGGAGGGACTGAAAGACGGGCTTGATCGTTTTGCAAGGCCCACACCACGTGGCAGAGAAGTCAGTAATACACGGTTTTCCCCTGCGCTGTTCAAGGCTTCCTGAAAAGCACATTTGCTCTCGATCTGCTTCACCATTTTGGCGGCTGGGGTCTGACAAGTGACTGTAAGGACCCATGAAAGTGGATCCTAAAGGCGGACAGAGCTCCAGGCGCCCCACTTTTTAACTTTTGGGAACAGTTTCAGATCCACAGTAAAACTGAGCAGAAATTAGAGATTTCCATCACGGCCCTGTCCGCACACAGGCACGCCTCTCCCACTGCGGACATCCCGCCAGCTTTGAAGCTCACTCTTGGTTCACTCTTGGTGTGCATCCTACGCAGAAGAGCATTTGCAAAAAGCGAGACACGGTAGAAGTAGGCAAGATGGAGCGGCCACAGTCCTGTGAGCTGTGCGTCAGTTACGTGCATGCGTGCGCGTGCCAGCTGCCACGGAGAGCACTTCCCTGACTGGTTGGGGTGAAGAGTGGTCATGAGACTTGGTGTTGGCTTGGGTGTTGAAGCGACAAAGTGCGCAGTGCGCGCCAGTTTGGAGAGAACCCAAGGACTTTGTGGGGTTGTAAGGAAATCTGAGGGGGCCCAAGAGTATTGGGGGAGGCCCTGGGCCTCCTGCTAAGAGGCACTTGGCTCTTTTTCTCTCTTGCCCAGTGGGGATTGCCCAGGGTGGTCCCAGCACGGTGTCAAGATGCCTTCAGGAGTCAGGCTCTGTCCTTGGCCATTTTCTCTCTCTTTTTTTAAAGTTTATTTATTTATTTATTTTTTTTTATTTATTTATTTTGAGAGAGAGAGAAAGAATCCCAGGCAAGCTCTGCACTGTCAGTGCTTGAACTCACGAACCATGAGATTATGACCTGAGCTGAAGTCGGACACTCAACTGGTTGAGTCTTCCAGGCCCCCCCAGCCACTTTTTTTTTCTCTTTTTTTTTGTGTCCACAGAACACAAAGTGACCAGTGACATCATTTTGGCTGGTTGAGCTTGGTTGCCTTGGATGGGGCCGCCCTCCTGAACACGGGTCCCTGCCGCCCTCTGAGCTGGCCTGGATGCCACGCGTTCTTCCGATGACGAGTATGCTTTTTCTCTGCCCTGCTGTCCCTTCCTGCTCTGGCCATGTCCCTCCTGGAAAATGCCTACACCCCCACCCCTCCTCTCCAATGAGCCTTATTTTTGGTGACTGTCTTTGGGGAGCCCCACACCTGCCTGGAGGCTTCCTACCTTTCCTTTGGGAAACACAGTTGCTGATTACCCTCCCCACCTGAACAATAGAATTTACTGCTTTGAGAGACCCAGACTTTTGAAAACAAAAAAGCCTATTTGTCGTGCTTTGTCCTCCCAAGGGCAAATCGAGACCTTGTGCATCTGCGAGGGCTCTTCTCCCTGCTTGCGCACACACTTAACTCTCCAGCCAGACGGTTGGCTCTTTGTGACCAGATGCTGTTGCACCCAGTGCAGCTTCCTGCCCACGTTGGCGCTTTGTTGAGTGATGAGTGTTGATGAGGTTTTGGGGTGATGGTGGGGGGTCCGGAGCTGATGACCAAGAAAGAATTCTTGAAGACATCTTTGGTGCAAAATGGAGATTTTATTAAACCGTGGGGACAGGACCCGTGGGCAGAAAGAGCTGCACTGGGGTTGTGAAGAATGGCTGGTTGTATAGTATGAAGTCGGGGAGGTCAAGTCCAAAGGGAAGCTTCCAGGGGGACTTTGATGGGCTAACGAGGACTCAGAAGATACCTGAGGCCTTGATATTGTCAAGCTAAGGTTGTTCTCCCTCTAGTAAGGTATTAACATTAGGACGGTCTGGGGCTCCTCGAGGAATGTTCTACTCTGCATTTGCCTCAAGTGTCTGTCAATGGGCTGCAGGTTATGAGGAAATTTAATTTTACCTGCCATTTCCTTCCTGCCTTTGTTCCCCAGTCACTATGGAGGGTGAGGCTGGGGCTCCAGGAAACTGAGTCGACAGGTTTCTGGAGATTAAGCTATTGATAGATTGCCTTTTTCTTGTAGTTTACTAAGATATTTGTAAACTGATGGAGCCCATGCTCTGTAGAACTGTGATCCCTATCAGTTGGCCATTTGTTTTCTTTCCTCTCCTTGGTCCTTGGGCAGCCGGGAGTGTGTGAGGAGTATCCCACACATCCCACCTGGGTGGGTGGGGGGCGCCAGCTTGCACTTTGTCCTTGGCCTGCCCCACGGTCCCTCATCAGTGTCAGGGGCAGTGATCCAACCCCACTGCCTTAGGGAACGGCGGCTCTAAAGCTTCCTACTCACACAGCTGCACAAAAATGACTCCTAGCTGCTTGCCCCTCAGGAAAGAGTTGGCTTTGGGCAGCAAGGGCCTGAGAAACAGGAGACTGAGGGAAGGTGATTCTCTCCTTCAAGGATGTCCCCCACTGGTGCTGACTTTGCATTAATCCAGCAACACGTGTCCTCCTGCGCACACACGGTGCCAGACCTGGCCTCGGGGGCATAGCCAGGCTGGGGGAGTAGAACACTTCCAGGGTGTGGGCCCAGGCCGGGCTGGGGGAGATCTCTGACCCGGCTGCTGCCCCTGCCCTCCGGGACCCTGTGGTCCGTGGGAGCTTCCCTGGGCCTTGTCCGGGGAGGCAAAGGATGGGCATGTGGCGGGGCACGGCAGAGTTTGGTAGAGGGTCCCTGGTGCCCCGCTGCTCTGTGGGCTCTTGCTGCGGACACTGTCCTCGGGGAGCCGGGCCCGGCTGCTTACTGCTTGGTGTCTGTGCCCAACCCGCCAGTCCCTCTAAGTCTATGCTTCTCCGCCGGTTCCCTCAACCTTCACTTCACAGATCTTGGGGTGATCTGCCAGGTGCAGATGCGTTTAAAATGACATTACAGGGGGCGCCGGGGTGACTTAGTCGGTTAAGCGTCCGACTTTAGCTCAAGTCATGGTCTCACAGTTTGTGAGATCGAGCCCTGCGTCAGGCTCTGCGCTGACCGCTCAGGGCCTGGAGCTGCTTTGGATTCTGTGTCTCCCTCTCGCTCTGCCCCTCCCCTGTTCACACTCGGTCTCAAAAATAAAAGTTAAAAAAAAAAAAGAAAGAAAGGAACTCCCAAGCTAAAGTTTCCAAAGAGATTGAAACATTTATGTTCTCCCGAGCAGCACACAGCGTTCCGGTTCCTCCGCGCCCGCCAGCGCTTGCCGTGGTCTGGCCTCGCGTTGTGGCTGTGTCTCATCGAGGCTTAAACCTGCAGGGCCTTAGGGACTAAGGACGTTGAGCATCATTTCATGCGCTTGTTTGCCATTTGTAAGTTTTCTTTGGTGAAATAGTTCAAATCTGTTGACTCTTCCTGAAATTGTGTTGTTTGTTTTCTGAATTTCAGGAGTTCTTTATCCTCTACATAAAATTTGCTCTGTTTTATTTTATCTTTGTTTTGTTCTGTCCTTCTCAGGACTTGGTGTCCTCCGTCACGGTGAGGACTGAGGTCTCTCTTCCGTCCTGGAAAGTTTTATTATTTCTTTCTCACTCCCTCCCCCTCTTTTCTTCCACCTCTTTTGAAGCCCCTGGTAGTGAAGATTGAGAGCCGCTCAGCTGTGCCTTTCTCCGATCATCCCGCGTCGGGTGCAGGGCCTTTTCTGGTGCTTAGGGCTTCGCTACCGACCAGATGCAGCCGACCTCCCAGCGTCCGGCTCTTGATTTTGCCTCACCGTTCATGGGCTCGAGCCCCGTGCTGGGCTCTGTGCTGACAGTGCAGAGCCTGCTTGTGATTCTCTCTCTCCCCCTCTCTTTTTGCCCCTTTCCCACTTTCTCAAAATAAATAAACTTAAAAAAAAGGCAGCAAACTTCCCTCGTTCTGGTGGGAGGCAGGAAGAACGATGCGGTCTAATAAACCCGTACATTCTTCCCTCTGTTACAAGATGACCCTTGCTGTGGAAGGACGTGGGGCCGGGGGGCAGGCGGGAGCCTGCAGGGGAGCGGGGTGGGTAGGGCTGCCTCCCGGGAAGGAGAGGTAAAGGCCTGAAGGCGGAGGAGGCGATTGTGGGGACTTGAGGGAACAACGTGCCCAGCGACAGGTGCCAGTGTGGCCGGAGCGGAGGCGTCCAGGAAGTCTGGTCAGAGGGGAGCAGGGCCGGGCCAGGGGCTGGGGGCCTGTCTGTGCTGCGTCGGGGACAGGGTGTGGGGGCGGGGAGGCCAGGCAGGAGGCCCGTGCACCTGTCAGGTGAGGGGCAGGGCAGCGTGGCTCCGTGCTAATCCAGGTCCTCTGAGAAGCAGCGGGAATAAACGTTTTCACGAGGGAAATGTCTGGGGGGGAGATAGGGGGGCAGGTGCGGAGGGCAGGAAGAGCCGGGGACGGCTGTGCACACCACACTCCGGGGTAAGGAGGGAAGGCTGGTGGCCTTGAGGGTCTGCAGCCTCAGCAAGGTCCGTGCGGCCATCAGAGGAGGCCTTGCATCCCAGGAGGGTCCCCGCTGCACTCTGTCATGGCTGGCGGCAGCCCTGGGAGGCCTGGGTCTCAGTGCTCGGTGGCTGTGCCCTGGGCCAGTTACCTTCCCTGCAGCGGGGGGGTCTGCAGCCTCACGGCCACCACATTCTTCTGGGCGTGACTGACCTGGACCTGTCCCGTCACCCCACCTCCGTGATTACAGGTGCAGTGACCAAGGGGAACAGCGCCCCGGACCCATGTGTTTGTCACTAGCTCCTGCCTGCTCCTGTGGCTATGTCCTTCGCTCTGGAGGTCAAGCCCCTGTTCGATGGGTGTTGGGGCGAAAGAGAAGGTGATTCTTTTGTTGCCATGGAGGTCCCAGCAGAGAGAGAATGGAAAATCAGGTCATGAGATCTCGGAAAGAATGTAGGTTAATTAAAGTTTAAAACAGAGATGTTTCTGCAGCGGGTCTATGAGTCAGCATCGAGTCCGGGGAGAGGCGCACCTGAAGGCTGAGGCCTCCTCTGGCGTGCCAGCCCTGATGTCCCGACTGGAGGGAGCCGCCCAGGGTTGCTTGCAAGTTTTCATGCTTTTAAGCCGCATTGAGATTCATCACCGGACCCCCTTGACTGCCCGGGGAGCATCCTAACTCAAGCCGAGAATCTGGGCCAGCTGTTTATAAGAACAGTATTCGCTGAGTGAAGCCAGCCGCCCAGATAGGGGGTGACTTCTATTGGGGGGAAGGAGTGGGTGGGAAGGGGAGAGATTTGGCCACGAGCTCATACTTTCGACACCTGCTCTGTGCCGCGCTGTTACTTTGCTCTCTGGTGCTGTGGAAGCCTCCCTGCACCGCACAGAAGGGCAGCCTGGCACTGCTCCTAGAAAGGCTTCCCCGTCCACAGGGCAGCATGGAAGTTACAGGAACCTGTCGCAGGGGTGACTTTGCTGTCACCTGCAGCACTTGGGGCCAACCTCTGCCCCACACGAAATACACATGGAAATGCACAGGGATTATTTAGGCCGGCCCTGGGTTTCTCCGCAGCGGCTCTGGGTGAGGCGACAGGCCCCACTCTGGGCCCCAGCCACAGCTTAGCCCCGGGTTTGGGCTCTACTCCGGGCTGGCCCTGTGCAGTTTTTTAAAGCACCAGCATCTATGTTATGGGCTGAATTATATCTCTCCCCAGATTCACAGGCTGAAATCCTGACCCCCAGCACCTCAGAACGATACTGTATTTGGAGATGGGGTGTGCACAGATGTGCTCAAGTTAAGAAGGGGTCATTAGGGTGGACCCTGATCCAATAGGGCCCGTGTCCTTATTATTTTTTTAATGTTTATTTTTGAGAGAGAGAGAGAGAGAGAGAGAGACAGAGCACGAGCCGGGGAGGGGCAGAGAGAGAGGGAGACACAGAATCAGAAACAGGCTCCAGGCTCCCAGCTGTCAGCACAGAGCCCAACATGGGGCTCAAACTCACGGACCACGAGATCATGACCTGAGCTGGAATTGGTTGCTTAACCAACTGAGCCACCCAAGTGCCCCAGGACTGGTGTCCTTATAATAAGCAGAGATCAGGACACAGACATGCACAGAGACCACGTGAGGATGCTGGGAGAAGACGGCCATCAACACACCAGGGAGAGAGGCGTCAGGAGGAAGCAGCCCTGCTGACACCCGGAGTGGATTTTTGGCGTCCCAAACCCCCAGGACACGCACCCCTGTTGTGAGCTGCCTGGTCTGTGGTGCCTTACGTCCGTCCTGGGAAATGAGCACAACCTGCCAGGCTCAGTGTCTGGAGTATTTGGGTAACTTAATGAGCATCTGTGGAGTAAGAAAAGGTAGAAGTGAACTTGAGTAAAACTGCTGAATTCTGGGTGTCACTCTGTAGAGGAGGCAAGGGTGGACCCCGGGAGAAGCCACTCATCCAAGACCAAACTTGACATTCCCAGCAGAGCTCACGTCCTGAGGACCCCCTCCTAGGCAGGAGCTTCTCTCCATGTTTCTTTCTTCCCGGGCAAGGGAAAGCGTGGACCCGAATCCTTGCTTTCCACATTTTCCCACCGACGTTGGGGGAGGGAGGCTGCGCCCACCCCTTCCACCCGGGAGGCTGGGGCGAGGGGCTGCCAGATCTGTGTCTTTGGGCCTAGTTGGGGCTCTGCGTATTCGAGCTCAAAGCCCTCTCTGGGTAGCTGACTCCAGCAATCACTGTTGAAGCGAATGTGCGCAGGGCAGCGATGGAAATGTGTTCACTACAGTGGGTCACAGTCAAAGGTCTGAGAAGCTCTCCGAGGGGCTCTACCTTAATAGCGTGTGTGTGCGTGTGTGCATGTGGGGGGGCGTGTGGCTGTGCTCTCCCTCCTTAAGGTAGAGACCTTTCCAGTGGTTCTCTGGAATGATCAGGTAAATGCTGGAAGGATGTTGGGAAGAATCACTTGCACTGTCTCCCTTGGTTATAACTCATTCATTACAACCTAACCCCCGAGGTGAAGTGTTAGCAGGTGTGTTTGGAGGCGATTGGGGCGTGCGGGTGGGGCCATCTGAGAGGGATCAGTGTTTTTACGAAAGAGGCCCCAGAGAGCTACCCAGCCCCCTCCCACATGAGGATACACAGATGTGACTGTGACCCAGGACTCAGTCCTCACCGGACACCAGATCTGCCAGCGCCCTGATCCCAGATGTCTGGCCTCCACCACTGAGGAATCACAAGCCCCAGTTACAGCAGCCCGAACTAAGACAGGTGAGGGGCCCCCGAGTGACCGACTGCCACTTTCACCCGGGCACGGGACTCTTGTTGCTGAATCCGGGTTGAGTGTGTCCCCCTGGCAGGTCCCGACATACTGTGGAGGCCTTCCAGCTCGGAAGGCTGCCGTGTGTCTTACAGACTTTCTGGGGAGGGTCTGTGAAGAAGACGGGCCCAGGCGAGGCCGCCTGGCCTCCCTGCCTCCCTGGCAGGAGCTGGGCATGGAGGGTCGGCCCCTGGGGTCTGGGACTCTGAATGTGAGGTGCTGTCACTGACCCTGGCCCTGGGACCACTGCTGTGGCCTGGCGGAGCGGGACCCACCAGGGCCGGCTTCCTAGCTCGCCCAGGCCTTCCCATGAACTTGACCTCGAAGCAGTCACTTGGGCCCCCAGCCTTGGTCCCGCACAGTCTTCTCTGTGCTGTTTGCCTGGGGAGGGAGGGGCCCTGAATGATGGGACCCACGGAGCTTTACCTGCAAGGGTCCTGGGCACTTTTGCTGTGAGCCCCCATCACTGACTGCTACCGTGGAGGGTGCACGGCCCCTCCCAGAGGCCCTCGGGTCAGGACCAGCGCCTGGGCTGGCTGGAGGCCTGGGCCTCCATCCCCCCCCCCCCCCCCCCCCCCCCCCCTCCCCTGCCTCAACTTCACTAGGCGAGGCCGCTGTACAGAGCCGTGCAGAAGAGGCGCACTGAGAAGCGACCCTGTGGGACTGTGCTCCTCCCCTCCCTGTGGCCTCAGGGGCCCCCAGTGAGGAGGTGAGCATGTTCTGCACTGACGCCTGTCTGGGGCGTGCTGTTTGTGCTCCAAATTGTACAGAGCAGCAAAGTTGCTAAAGCATTTTCCTGTTTATTTTTAAATTTTTAAAATTTTTATTTATTTCTGAGAGAGAGAGAGAGAGAAACAGTGTGAGCAGAGGAGGGTCAGAGAGAGAGGGAGACAGAATCTGAAGCAGCTCCAGGCTCTGAGCTGTCAGCACAGAGCCCGATGTGGGGCTTGAAACCACGGACCGCGAGATCATGACCTGAGCCAAAGTCAGACGCTTAACTGACCGAGCCCCCCAGGCACCCCTCTTTTTCTGTTTTTTTTTTTTTTTTTCTTAAAGAAAACTTTTTACTCTGGAAGTGTCCAGGGTCCCCAGGAGCAGAGCAAGAGCCGTCAGTTCAACGGCCATCATCGCGGTGCCTCGCTTGTGCCACTGGGTCCCCCCCCTTCTGCCTTGGAGTGTAAGGCAGGCGGGGAAGCCTCACTGAGGGCTCAGGAACCCCGGGCGGCTCAACAAAGAAGGCGTCCGAAGTCACTGCAGTACTGACAGCGCCTTGCACCATCTGCTCCTCCCCCTCAGCATCACCACGGGCCATCTGGGCCCAGGGGACCCTTTACTTTTTTATGCTTCCTCATTTCACAAATAACTTACCGGATTCTGTGCCGGTAAAGGGTTAGCCTCCTTTGACTGCAGCCAACTAGTGTTGCGTGTTGTGCCTGAAGCTTCTCCTGGGAAATGCCGCCTCCAGGCAAATGCACCTCAAACAGGGGCGCCCTGGGGGCTCAGTCGGGTGAGCCTCTGACTGCGGCTCAGGTCATGATCTCACGGTCTGTGGGTTCGAGCCCCGCGTCGGGCTCTGTGCTGACAGCTCAGAGCCTGGAGCTGCTTCAGATTCTGTGTCTCCCTCTCTCAGCTCCTCCCCTGCTCATGCACTCTCTCTCTCAAATATTAATAAACACTAAAGAGAAACAAAAACCAAATACCCCTCGAACAGATCCGAGCCCATCGTCACGAAGCGTTTGTGGACCACATCGTCAACATGCAATATTCAGAAGCAACCTTTGAGACTTCTGATACTCAATTCTGTCAAAGGCAACATGGCCATTTTTCTTTGCTCCATAATTGCAAAACATTTTTAGTTTTTGATTTATAAGTACCCATTAGAAGCATCAATTTGGTTAATTTTTTAAAAAATTCTGCATCACCTGTTCCTTGCCCGGGTCTTTGTATGTACATGCACCGTTAGCGTTTATCCACTTACAAACTACATCAAATCCTGTTCATAAATGTCAAAACATATGAAAATCTTGTCATAAGTAAAATCTCTTTTGGAAAATGCAATGGCCCAAGTTCTTATTACAGAATATTGACAGAAGTCTTTCTCTGATTGTGAATATATTTTGTTTTTGTCCTTAGAAATATGAATTTGAGAAAACTGATCGCAGATGTCATCTGAAGACCCGCTGAGATTCCTGTCACTGGACTGATTTCAGCGTCACTGTTAGCATCAGCCGGGGCTCCATTCTGTTCCTCTGTGCCCATTTCTGGTTGCCTGATAACGATGAAATGTTTTCTTTGGTTGCGTTTTTACTCCTTATTGTTATGCATAGAAAATGAAAACTTCCGAATTCTCAACTGTTCAATAAAAGTAGAAGAAAAGAAAGCTTATCTCTAGACTTTGATATTGTCTTCTTTTTTTTTTTTTCTTTGTTTTTTAGAGAAAGGGGGGAGAGAGAGAGAGAGAGAGACTGAGCAGGGGAGAGGGGCAGAGGAAGAGAGAGAGAATCTCAAGCAGGCTTCATGCTCAGCAGAGCCCAATGCAGATCCCACAACCTTGGGATCATGACCTGAGCCGACATCAAGAGTCAGACGCCTAAGTGACTAAGCCACCCAGGTGCCCCTAAACTTTGAGACCTTCTTGAAAGTTGACGCACTACCTTGAACAATGTAAGAAAAAGGGAGAACAGTTTATTTCACTTGGTGTTGCCCTTACAATTCCATGGCTTTCCATTTTCTTTTAGGTTTAGTCCTTTTTAGCTAACTTGGGAATACTTGATGAGTAATGATGAAATAATTCTCTGCAAGATGAAATAGCCAAATATTTCAAGATGTAGAAGAAATAAGATCCTGAGAGTCCATTATACATCTTAGATTTATGAAAAACTTCAGTGAACCATGTGGCAATTGCAAGGCAGAATGGGTTTTGTTCTGTCTTTAAAACAATAGGTAACAGGATGCCTGGGTGGCTTAGTCAGTTAAGCGTCCGACTTTCGCTTAGGTCATGATCTCGCGGTTCATGGGTTCGAGCCCCGCATCGGGCTCTGTGCTGACTGCCAGCTTGGAGCTTGGAGCCTGTTTTAGAGTCTGTGACTCCGTCTCTCTCTGACCCTCCCCTGCTCACGCTGTCTCTCTCTCTCCTAGAAATAAATAAAACATTAAAAAACATTTAAAAAAAATAAAACAATAGGTAACATAATTTTCTTTGTTGTTTGGAAAAATCTCTGGGACAGACTAGGAGTCATGAACTGTCAATCCTTATAAATTGTTAGAACTACTCAAAAAGTATGCTTAGAAAATGAAGACTGCATCCATCAGACCGGATGGTAAATACCACCGGATCCCCAGGTCCATTATTTAAATTGCTCTGTCCCCAAAATGCATGTTTTACAGCTACTGAGTTATTCAATTCCGGATCGAAATGAGAACGACAGGTTGTGGCGCTTCTGTCTGTAGGGTCCCCTGATCTGGAACTGTCACCCTCCCGAGAGAGTTTAGCAGACACGCTGAAGGAGCTGGGTCAGCCGTCCTGCGGCCTTCCTCGGGGGGCCTGGACTTACCCCAGTTTTCCCGGGGACCAGCTCGGACCCAGGCTCGTTTCTGCCTTGGGTGGTGCTGGTACTTTGATTGCAACACGTGGCCGGGGGCGTGGGGTCCTCACCCCCGCCTTTCCCTCAAGCATCGATTGGCTTGAGGATGAGTTTTTCTCCCACTCGCGAGCAGGGCCTGGCCGGTCCCTCTCCGGCCCTGTGGTGAGGGAGTCCCTAGCTCTGGTCCCGCCCTGCTGCTCGGTCAGCGCCGCCGGCCTTATCTATAAGCAGGAGCTAACGTAACTGGCACGGATTTCCTCTCAGAGGTCTGGGAGGCGCCCGTGAGAAACTGGTTTGGAAGAGCTCTGGATGCTATCAAGTGCCATTTAGGGGGACGATGGGTACCCTCTGCTGCTTGTAGCTCAGCCTCCACCCCCCACCCCCCCACCCCGCCCCGGGCACATGGAGTACTGCACTCATCCGGAGCTGAATCTGCCTTTGGCCTCTTGCATGGCTGGGGAGCCCACAGGAGGGTCCCGTGCCTGGATGATGCTGGCGGGGGTGGGGTGTGGGGGCTCCCGGTTGACCCGAATACCAAAGTGATAAGTTAACTCTGTGGGGTGCTTGCTGCTGTGATGAATTCAGACTTTGGGTAAAACTCTTGGAACCCCATTGGGGCATCTGGGGGGCTCAGTTGGTTGAGTGTCTGACTCTTGATTTTGGCTCAGGTCATCCCAGGGTTGTGGGATCAAGTCCCTATTGGGCTCCATCTGCTGAGGGTGGAGACTGCTTGAAATTCTCTCTGTCTCTCAGGAAACAGACCTCGTGACTGCACTTAGAAGCTTCCGTCAGGCTCTGTCCCATCGCCTCCAGCACCAACTTCGATCCTGCTATTCCTGAGGTGTTTGAAAGGCTGATTTCCTCCATAAAGATGATAGAACTGTGTTCAGAGCAGATTGGTCCCTCCCACACCTTCAGCTGTGAATGTGCTTCTCTGTCCCACCCTGGTCATCTTCCCCAAAGGGCAACTAGGAATGCTTCATCTAGAAAATTATTTCCCACTGAGAACCAAGAAGTCCAGTTGTTTAAGGGAAGCAGGAGAGACAGGCAGGTAAATGGGGTGTGTGATTAGAGAGGACGCACACACGCGCACACACGCGCACACACGCATGTGGACCAAGGGCCGGGGGGAGAAGTGCAAGTGAGAAGTGGTCGTTATGCTCGGGCTCCCGAAGCGGGAGTGCTCGCGCCCCTCCAGGAGGAGGTCTGGTCTGCGTGGGGGGAGGGGGCGGGTGCACACGCGGGAAACACGCTGCCCTCAGTCTCCACGACGGGCGTCCTCGCCGTGTGCCAGGGCGTGGGAAGAAAGCGCTTCTTCTGTGTGCCAGGACTGAAGACTTACTACATTGCTAGGGATTTTTAAATTAATTTCTTTATTTGAGTGTAGTTGACACAATGTCACATTAGTTTCAGGTATGCATGTCGTGACTGGACATGATACATCTTGGGACGCTTGGCCCCCAGTGTAGCTGCCACCTGTCACCACGCGCAGCTCTACTACAATGCCACTGACTGCGTTCCCTGTGCTGCACCTTTTATTCCCGTGACTTACTCATTCCGTAACTGGGAGCCTGTGTCCCCCTCACCCCTGTGTTGATCATCTTGCACCCCCCTCTCCCTGGCCACCATCAGCTTGTACTCTGTATTTGCAGGTCTGATTCTGCTTTTTGATTGTTTATTCATTTGTTTTTAGATTCCACATATGAGTCAAATCATATGGTATTTGTCTTTCTCAGTGTGACTTATTTCACTCAGCATAATACCTTGTAGATCCATCCATGTCGATTCAAATGGCATGATCTCATCCCTTTTTATGGCTGAATAATAGTGTGTGTGTGTGTGTGTGTGTGTGTGTATGCGCGCGCGCGCGTGCACACCATGTCTTCCTTATCCATTCATTGACGGACTCGTAGGTTGCTTTCATATCTTGGCTATTGTAAATAGTGCTGCACTAAACATAGGAGTGCATGGACCTTTTGGGTTAGTGTTTTTGTTTTCTTTGGGTAAATAACCAATTGTGGGATTATTGGATCATATGGTATTTCTATTTTAATGTTTTGAGGAACCTCCATACTGTTTTCCCCAGTGGCGGTACCAATTTACATGTACTAGGGAATGTTTTGTTTGTAATTATGCAATGGAGGTATTTAAAGTAATTATATGTATATTTTAAAAGGTTTAAGAGTTTTTACTTGAACTCTCTTGTAAATGAGACTAAAAATCAAAGACCCCTTGTGATTGTGAAAATTAACTGGATTTATAAACAGCATAAACTGTTTATACTTAAAAACCAGCTTTTAAAATGTTGTAATTTAACACACTGGATATTTGTTTAAAAAACAGAGTAATTGCGCCTAGTCACGTGTGTGCACCAAAGTCAACTTTAAAAATCCCAACATTTTGCTATTGTGTGCACAGGCCATTGATGGGGAAGTGGCTCATTGTAGCTAAGGCCGGGGGAAGTGACTGTCCAATTTGGATACAAATTCTTCCAATGACTTTGGTTTCCCTGCAGTAGGAAGTGCTTCTGGCCCTGTCACCTAAGGCAATGTCTTCGGACCTGGGACTCTGACTCATTAGCAGGCTGTGATATTGGGTTGGAGTATTGCAACTGGCATTAAACAAATGGAGTAGAATTAAGGTTTCCAAGCAAAATACGGGACACCCAGTTAAATTTCAATTTCAGTTGCAAAACAAGTATCTTTTTTACTATAAATATACCCTAAATATTGTGTTGGATGTACACATACTAACAAAGTCAGTTATTTATTTATCTGAAATCCAAATATAACTGGGGTCCTGTATTTTTAAAAAATGGGCCAAAGGCCTTTTTTATTGATTAAAAAAATTTTTTAGTGTCTATTTATTTTTGAGAGAGAGACAGAGTGCAAGTGGGGGAGGAGTGGAGAGAGAAGGAGACGAAATCCAACAGGCTCCAGGCTCCGAGCTGTGAGCACAGAGCCGGACGCCAGGCTGGAACCCACAAACTGTGAGATCATGACCTGAGCCAAAGTCGGAGGCGTAACCGACTGAGCCACCCAGGCGCCCCGGGATCCTGTATTTTTATTATGAAATCTGGCAACTCTAAGTAGCACAGAATAGAAAGTATCAAAAGGGGTCATATACACATATACAGGCAAGTATTGGGACCCATCGGAATGTATTTCTTGCCGTGGGTTGGAGCCTGCGGTGGGAACGCCCTCTCCTAGGACTTGTGCATGCTCCCTGCGGGACAACCACGGGGTTTATCAGGGCCTGCGGTGTAGTAAGGGCCTGGGCTGCGATAATGATCACTGTCATTGTGTTCTCTGCTCTGTTTTCTTTTTCCCTTTCTTTCTTTCTTTCTTTCTTTCTTTCTTTCTTTCTCTCTCTCTCTCTCTCTCTCTCTCTCTCTTTCTTTCTCTCTCTCTCTCTCTCTTTCTTTCTTTCTTTCTTTCTTTCTTTCTTTCTTTCTTTCTTTCTTTCTTTCTTTCTTTCTTTCTTTCTTTCTTTCTTTCTTTCTTTNTTTCTTTCTTTCTTTCTTTCTTTCTTTCTTTCTTTCTTTCTTTCTTTCTTTCTTTCTTTCTTTCTTTCCCTCCCTCCTTCCTTCCTTCCTTCCTTCCTTCCTTCCTTCCTTCCTTCCTTCCTTCCTTCCTTCCTTTTTTTGGAGAGGGTTTTTCCTTGGAAGAACTCAGAGCCTTCAAATGTTTATTGAAACAGGACTCGGAAAGTTTCCCGCGTTGATCAGCCTCTCGCTCGTCTTCCGGGGAGATCTCATCGCGCT